CAGCAGCCCGAGCAGCAGCAGCAGTGACGCCGGCGGTGCCGGCGGCCCGGGCGGCGAAGAGTCCGGCGACCCAGGTGGGGACGGCGGTAGCGATGGTGATCCCGGCGACTCCGAGAACCTCGAGGAGTTGAAGTATGATCCAGCCGACGACCGCTACCCCCGCGGGCTAGAAGGGAAGAAACTCCTCTGGGGCGCCTCGAACGCTGGCCCGCTGCGCCATGGGCTTGAGAGTGGCCGCACGCGGAAGCAGACCCGGGAGATGCAAGGTGCCGGGGAGATGCCGGGGTCCGGAGAAACACCTGGACCCGGAACAGGCATTGCTGGTGACCATCCTGGAAACTGGCGGGACGGGGATTGTTGAGGACTACATCTGCAACTCGCTTGTGAAGGAGCAGTGGGACGAGGAGCAGACACGCCGTATGGAGGAGATGTACAGGCGCGAGATGCAGGAGGTGTTGGGCCCGGAACAGCAGGCGTTCGGGGCCGAGGTCGACGCCAGCGGGTCTTCGCAACCACTCCCAGACCCACAGCTAAGTATGACCTCGCCAATCGGGCAGAAGCCGAGTGATGTGGAAGCAGTACCGATGACGTACAAGGATGTGATGTGTTCCAAGTACAAGGTTTTCTGGGAGGCGGCCATGAAGAAAGAGATAGATGGCCACGACAAGACTGGAACCTTTACCAAGGTCAAGGAGCTGCCCGAGGGGCGGAAGGCCATAGGTTCAAAGTGGGTGTTCTCTTGGAAGACGAATGAGAAGGGCCTGATAGTCGACTTCAAGGCCCGTATGGTTGCGCGGGGTTTTTCTCAAATCCCCGGCATCGACTTCCACCACTTATCCTCAGCGTGCCCGTCTGCAGCGTCTATCAAGACGGTGATTGCCGTAGCCACTGTAAAGGGCAAGAAACTTGCTCACTAGGATGTGAAGCAAGCGTACATCCACGCTAAGCTAAAAAAAGAAATATACCTCAGGTTCCCGAAATCCTGTGGTAGCATGTCTGGCAAGGTGGTCAAGGTTGAGCGTGCGCTGTATGGCCTAAAACAGAGTGGCCGTGAGTGGGGGTTTGAAGCTGCCGATGCCCTCATCGAGAACGGATACGAGCAGTGCAGGGTTGACCCGTGTGTCTGCCGGAAGGTGGTGGATGGAGAGGTCATAGGTCTCATCGTGATCTACGTTGATGACTTCTTAGTGGCGGCAGACGAGGGAGAGCGAGAGGAGTTGTTCGCTTCCCCAACAAGAAGTTTCCGGTGAAAGATCTGGGGGAGTGTACCTGGTACGACGGGTGTGCTATCGCCATGGATGTGGAAAATGGCATCACCAAGCCATCCCAGACAGCATACATTGAGAGTATGCTGAAGCGGTTTTGATGTGACCACGACCGCTTTCACCCCTGCTGCCACCGATGCCGACCTAGGGCCGAAGAGAGATGACGAACCCGCGGTGGATAAGCCTGTGAGGGAGGCGATCGGATGCCTGATGCGGCCGAAGCTGACGAGGCCAGACATCGACCTGCCTCTGAACAAGCTCCAGAAGATCGCCCATTCACCCACCGGGAGGATATGAAATGCGCTTGTGCGGATCATGTCCTACCTGAACTTCACGAAGGACTTCGGCANGCGGCCGAAGCTGACGAGGCCAGACATCGACCTGCCTCTGAACAAGCTCCAGAAGATCGCCCATTCACCCACCGGGAGGNCCATGCGTGTTTATCGATGCCAGCTACGCTGACAACGAAGTAGACAGGCGTTCTACGACCGGGCTAGCTGTGACCGTAGGTGGTACCGTAAGGTGTGCATCCACCAAGACGCAGCCACTGACGGCTCAGTCGACCTCGGAAGCAGAGTATATGGCAGCCGGGGAGGGCGTGAAGGAGGCGTTGTTTGTGCGTGGCGTTCTGTCGTCCATTGCGCCCGAGACGAGTGGGGCGAAGATCAAGGTCCTTGAGGACAACAAGGGGGCTTTCGCCGTAATCGAGAACCCGTTCAGCTCAGCGAGGAGCAAGCACATCGACGTGCGGTTCCATTTCATTCGCGAGCTATCCAAGTCGGGCAAGATCACTGCAGAGTATGTTCCGACTGGAGAGGCAGCACGCCGATATGCTGACCAAGGTCCTCGGCAGAGAGAAGTTAGAGTACCACCGGAAGGCTCTGATGAACCCACCGATGTAGTGTTCTCTTGTTCTGTTTGGTTAATGTGGTGGTTTTAGCACTTGGCATATATGACCATGGCACGTCACGCAGGAAGCGTTGTGCCGGCGCGTCACCCGCGGCTGGAGCCTAGAAACGCCGAGAGCCTTGCTTCGGGTGTGTAATCAGCGTGACCGGTTCAATCTGTCCTGCCTTGGTCTTGTCTTGGAAGTGCGGCAGTTGGAATCCTCCCTGATAGCGACGGTTTTTCTATATTTGGGGTGTTCGACGAGGGTCTTTGATCCGGTTGGCCGGGTTTTCCCTTGAGCCTGTTGTTGTTTTGAGTCCCTTTGGTAGATCAGGGGTATCCATGGCCCACAATAGGTTTGCCATTCGCGTGCAAACCAGGGAGGGTGTTCGTGTGTTTGGATACGGACTGGTTATCTACCGGCAACAACGGTGGGCACGCAGATGGGGCTATGTACACCTTGAAATGGTTGCATTTGCGGGGACCCCTCGAACTCCAAAGAGGGCTTCTCGGCTGGCGCTTCTCCCTACTCCCCATACATGTCTAACACAAGAGATAAAACGTCTTCCCCTTCCAAGTAAAGGACATATACGAACGAACATCTTCTTCATTTTATGTCCAGGGACTCATTCTGACAGCACTTCAGACGGCAGTACGCTGTTGTAGTCGACAAACATTCATTTAGGTTAAATGCGGGACAAGGGGGGTTGTTAGACGTACTCATAGCATCGAGAGATTGTTGCAAGCACGAAATTTCCGAGCAGATGGAGCGGGGAGTTTGAGGGGTCAGCAGTTGCTTTGGATTCGATTTGATCGTACCAACTCTGCCGTATATTACAGGATTTGAGGGTGGGGGTATGTGTGTGTCTACAACGGATATGGTGATTGTGCGTTGTGGTTTCTCACTTGTTCTTGTTTCCTCTTTTTCCTCCTTCCTGTGTGCAATCAAGTCCCTTTTTCCCGGCTATCACGCTACCACGGTTATCACGCCACGACTTCCACGCCAATCCTAGCTATCACGCCACCCGGCTATCACGCCTTCCGGACATTTACGTCCATACTTATACATTATACACCACGACTATCACGTCACCAGGCTTCCACGCCACATCCAGAGATACCATACCCGAGCTATCACGCTCCATCCCAAAGTAGTAGAAGGCTGTCACGCCCATCATAGTTCCAACACTGTACCGTTGGCGGCTACCGCGCCGCTGGCTCTTTTGTTTCCCAACCAAGGGACCCCGCGCGCCAAGGCACCGACGCACAAAGCTACTCAACACGCTAGCGTAACGATCAAGAGAGTGGCTGCCGTGTCTAAGCGCGCCACATGCCGGACGGAGACGGACGACAGCCTCCAGGGGGATCAGGTCAGGCTGTCCCTCCCCCCGGGGAAGGCGTCGCGGACGGAGGAGGGAGCGATTCTTTCTTCGTCAACGATGCACGAGACCGAGGGGGTGCGCGAGCGGCAGGAGGGGAAGATCAGCGCGACACGATGCGTGAGCTGGTTGACCTCTTCAAGCGGACCTTCGCGACATCAACTCATGACCAGGGGCACCGTGCCCACTCAGGCACGTCCAACAACCAGATCTTAGAACTGAGGCAGAGAGAAAAGATACATGTACCAGTATGGAGTGATGACTATCTGAAGAACAGATCGATCCAAGTTGCATTGCGAGTGTTCACGAGTGTTTTTGAAGCGTGGCTGGGGAGTGAGGGACTTGCTGGTGTGATGAGGAGTTCAGAGGTCCCTGTTGGTGCAGCTGGTGTGGATTTGAATTGGTTGAGCAGCACGTTCGGAGAGGAGAGAGTGAAGCAATCCAGGAAGATTTGGACGTTTATGCTAGCTAAGATCACAGCACAACCCGTACAAGCCCAAATCTTGGCATCAGAATCACCTCAAGCAGGGTACCGCGTGTTTCTCGAACAAGACAGCCAGGACAAGAGTCAGGAGCGACAAACTCTTGACGACGCATGGAACGTAATAGGCCAGAGGCAAGGAGAGAGTCTTATGGACTATTACGGTAGGGCAGTTGGGTTGTGGATGAGACTTCGATCGTATGGTGATAACAGGGATGAAACGTCGATGTGCAGGCACATAGTCCGGGGATTTCTCCCAAGGTTTGAGAAAACAAAAGACCGTCTTCTGTTTGATTCGATTTTGTCGAGGGCTACAATGCAGGAGATGCTGAGGTTGGAAGAGCACGAGCTCAGGTACGAGCGGAGAGCTGGAGAGGGGAAGGAAGAGATGAGGCACGCCCTCGTCGCTGCCGGCGTGGGCCTGGGTGGCGAGGCGGGGAAACCAGCCGCTGCAGGATCGGAGCAAGGCGGACATCGACTCCAGCAACCACAAACGTCGGTGCAGCCACATCAGCAGCAACCATCGCACTTCTGCCAGCTCCACGGCCCCAACAGCACCCACGAGACCTCCGAATGTCACAAGTTACGCAACGAATTCCTCGCCCACTACAGCGAGTTCTGCGCGTACATGAGCGGGAGGCGGGAGGCCCAGGCATCGGTCTTCCCTCGAGGCGGAGCCCAAGACTCGGGGCGGATGGTTGGTGGCCCATATCGACAGCAGCCGTACCAAAACGAGCAAGGTGCGGGCTGGAGTCGGGGCCACTCTCCAGCGCTGCCGGGACCGCCGCGTGGGCAAGGATCCGGAACTGGAGGACAGCTGCAGGGGCGCAACTCTGGGGGGCGTGGGTATGGTGGATACGGTCCTTCCCCCCCGGAGGAGGTCGTCAGGTGGGCGGCCGTGGTGGTAATTATCCGCCGCCCAACGTTCCTCCCGCGCAGATTGCTAACGTACCGCGGCCCTATTTTCCGGCTCATTTCGCCATGGGAGGTGGAGAACCATCAGGCGGCGACGTCACTTCGGGATGGAAGGCCACGTCAGCGCCCGTACCTACACCCAACTGGACCCCACCACCTCCTGAGGCAGGCTACGGGTACAGGCTCGCGGCTCACGGAGTGGACCATGGCGGAGGTGCCTACGGCAGCGCCGTCGGCGGGGGATACGGTTTCCACCAATTGCCCGACGGCGGAGGGCTCTACCAGAAGTGAGCAACGTACCATACTATCCTTCTGCTGCCGGACCGGACGCCCAACAACCGCGAGCCTACGAGGCCTTTGACACCTCGCAGCAGCATAAGCAGCAGCAGCACTACGGTGCACCCCAGGCGACCTCTTCCTCCTCCTCTCTCTCTCCAGCTCCAGGCGACGCTCTACCTCCAGCCGGCGATTCCCCCCTGCATCTCTTCGTGGCACGTGGCGTGTGCCCTCGAGGCAAGTCTGAGATTGGTTTTGAGAAGGATGTTGGGTTTTCGAAGTCTGACGTGTTCAAGAGTGTGGATTCTCATGTGTCAATGCCTGGTGTTCCCCGCGTGCCTGCTGTGCATGAACGTTCTGATGATGAGTTCGGTGTCTTGAAGTTTGGTGTGTCTACTCATGATGTACCCCGCGTGCCCGCTGCACTTGAGAGTCCTGATGAAGTGGTCGGCGTTCCGGAGTGTGATGCATCTGTCCCTGCTCCACCAAGTGTGCCTGGAAAGGTTGTCGTAGCCCGTCTCACCCGCCGTCCCACGGTTGAGAAAGCTTTCTTGTGCCAACCCTCCATGCCGAATCCGATTGGTAGCGAACAATGGCAGGCCGATTCTGGAGCCAGTGCGATGATTACTAACAAAGTGGATGCAATGTACAATGTACGTCACTCGGGCCCGGATGAACGATTTATTCAGATTGGAGACTCGGCTCTCATCAAGGTTGCCGCTGTAGGGAGTTTGGACCTTAGGTTCCACCAAATCGGAGCCGACGGGAAACAGGAGGGTTTGGACTTCACTGTGCCAGAAATTTTGTTTGTACCCGGGTGTGGTTTGAACCTTTTCTCGGTATCGAAGGTGTCTCACAAGTATGAGGTTCGTATCAACCCCAACGGTACGCAAAATATGCACGGAAAGCTGCGTTTTATTCGTGGCGTTTCGAGCGATCCCCTTTTTGCAACCCGCCTTCCCCACAAATCCCTGCCTTCTATGGACGTTGCGAATGAGAGTGCCCGTGAGATTTCTTTTTCCTTTGTGGCATCGGCTCTTACAGCCGCGATGGATTCCGATCTAGATCCCCCCGTGTGACGGATGCTGTAGCGGCATACTCGGCGAAGATGATTGATGTGCGGGAGAGTGAAGAGTGTGAACGCGCCATGGCTGTGTTGGGTCCGGGGAAGACACCTTTCAATGTCGGCAATGCTCAAAAGGTTGTGGATATTAACATGTTCC